ACAATTAATGCTAAATAAAATATGACAACCATTCTTTTAAAAGTATATCAAGTATAAAAGAAAAAAGATCCAGAGGTACCAAAGTGAATTCTGCATTAGAAACTAGAGAGGGAAACATGCTCTGGGAGTTACAGCTATACTCAGGGCATTTGCTGATTTTAATTGCTAAAAGTTTATATCTTAATTCTCTGAAATTAATTGCTTAAATCTTACTTATCTGAAGAAATAGGTTTGGAGTCACAAAAAAGCAGGGATTATAAATAATCCGCTTTATAAAAGTGAAACTGTGCAAGACCCACAGTGCAGAGAAGTGGGGGAAATCCATTTAGCCTTAAAGGAAAATGACAAGGAACACCTTAGTCTTGTCCTAGACTCTCAATGAAATAGAAGGAAAAAATGCTATGGATAATTTATTATTATACAAGAGCCACACACGCAAGAAATGGAAAAATTAGAGCTGTTCTCCAGAAATTGGAATGGTTAAATGACATATAATGTAAATGTTTGAAATACAAGAAAATATGAAATAAAAATCACAAGAAAGAGACCAGACCAGGAGAGAATATCAACTTCTAGAAATCAAACAACATAATCAATTATATTAAAATCTTAAAGAAAAAGAGATCTAAAAATCAGCCAGAGAAAACAGAGGTTACTTACAAAAGGAATAGTAATGAAATAGATGACAGACTTCTCAAGAGCAACAACAGAAGCCAAAAGACAGTAGGATGATACCTACAGAATGCTGAGAAAAAATTAATTGTCAGTGCAGAATTTTACACTCAGTTAAATCATTAGGCAAGAATGACAGTATAGAAGGTTATTTTTCAAATAAAGAGTATTTACTAAGAATAAGCCTTCACTAATGCATTTTATAATATATAAAATGACCCGAAGGCAGGGATGATAAAAGAGGAATAATGTGCAAATAAAATCATAATCATGAATAATTCCACCAGCAAATATTATAAAACAAAGTAATGCCAACTAGGGAAGTTTAAAAGAGAATGGAAATAAATTACCAGATGATAATAACCCATTGGATGAGAGAAATCAATCAAAGTCAAAGTACTTTATGATCCTTTATAATGTCCTGTGAGAAGAAAATTATCAATTTACAAAGTCTAAAAGTAACAAAGACTTAAGTCAAAGAAACAATATTTATATATTGTTATATATTATTTATATATTCATTAAGTATTTAAGTATATAGACAGTATTTATTAAGTCAAACCAACAATAATGACAATGATTTAATACCAAAACACACAGAAATATCCATAAAATACTTAAATTTAGCAGAAATGCTATTTCATTTTCTTTCTTTCTTTTTTTTTGGTACCAATGGATTTAACCCAGGGGCAGTTAACCACTTATACACCTCCAGCCCTTTTCAATATTTATCTGGAGACAAAGTCTTGTTCAGGGCCTTGCTAAGTTGCTGAGACTGGCTTTGAACTGGAGATCCTCCTGCCTCAGTCCTCTGAGTGGCTGAGATTACAAGCATGTTGCACTATATCTGGCTATTTCATTTTCTTGCCTACCAGCTGACAAAGATATCTTTAAGTGATGGTATGCAGTGTTCATAAATGTATTGAAAAAGCAGTTTTACACTGCATTTAGACTCCTGATTAAAATTCTGCAACAATGAAATATATAATTGACATAGAAAGGTCAATTTTTCATCTCTATATAAAACCTCAACTTACTGCCTCCATGGGTACCCATTTATTTCATGGCATATCTATCCTTTTTATCTGTTTTCAACTTTTTCTTCTTAAAATCCTAGCAGTGGAAGAAGGGCAGGTGGTTGTTACAAGACTTGTGAAAGCAGCATGCAAACAAAATATTTTTAAGTGATTCTAATATCCACTAAGATATTGAATATCCACTAAATGTGTAAAATTTCAAATATTATTACAATTAATAAAACTACAAAATTTCACTTTAACTAGAAGGAATTAAGTGCACATGACAAAAATTTAAAGATTATCTTTAAAAGTGTATAAATAGTGCATATCTTCCAAACTATAGAGAAAAAGGAGTTGCAAAAATCAAATAACAAATACTGTACCTATACTGATTAAGAGAATGAAAGAGGAAGCATAGAAAATTAAAGACAAAAAAAAACAAAAAATGGAGAAAATACATCTAAGTTTATTGGTAATAACAATTAAATGGAGTGAACCTTAAAATTAAAAAAAAAAATTCTCAGATAATGCTACACTGCAGTAATTATCAAATATGTCTAAATAGTTGAATAATCTAGGAAGTTTCAAAATATAATGATACTTGTGTCTTATGACCAAAGACTATGATTTAATTGGTCTGGAGTGTTGTTGCACGGGCCAGCCATGGGCTGTGTATGTGAACTATGAGCATTTGACTGTATGGGAAGACTGACCTGGTGTTGCGTGCTCTTTGGACCCTGCAACACACATGAGCACTTTCCTCTCCCTCTGTCTTTGATCCCACACAGCACCTGAGATGGGTGTGGCCTTCCAAGATGTCAATCAGCTGACCACGAGACATCACAAAGCTAGACTCAACCTCCTGAAACCTGACCCCTTGACTTATTTGGAAAGAATATTCTATGGAACCTTCCTTTGAGTGCCCCCTATAAAAATAAAGAATTCAGGTGCAAGCTCTCTTTCCAATAGACTCCCTAAGGTCGAGAGCCATCACTGGACCCTGAGAAAAAGGTATTTTCTCTGCTTTTGTGGGATTATTTCATGCCAACTCAAATTCAACTGGAGTGACCCTGAATGATTTAGTCACATGACATGGCAGAGTGTGGCTTGGGCTCTGGAGTTTTTAAGAGGGCTTCAACTATTTTTAAAATGCATTCAAGTTTAAATTGTTTTCCAAAGTGGTTACGTCAAGTGATATTATATCAGTACAGTTTAAAGCACTTAAGTACCAAACAGTTCTACCGAGATATAATTTACACACCTATGGTTCATTTTTTTTAAATACAAAATTCTGTTTTTAAAAATTATACTCACAGAGCTGTGCAATTATGTAATTTTTAAAAAATTTCTTTCTTTCTTATTTATTTATTTTTATGTGGTCCTGAGGATCAAACCCAGAGCCTTGCATGTGCAAGGCAAGCATTCTACTGCTGAGCCATAACCCCAGCACCCCCACCCCCGCAATGATGTAATTTTGAAAACATTTTATCACTCTTAAGAGAAGTATTGTCTATGCCCATTAGCAGTCACTTACCATTCTCCCACTCCTCATTTTTCATCATATCTCACTGCCCCCCAGGGTGGGCAACCAGTAATCTACACTATATCTCTAATGGTTTACCTAGTATGGATATTTTATGTAAATGCAACTATATAATAAGTAGATTTCTGTCTGGCTTCTTCCATTTAGCATGTTTTCAAGATTCATCCAAGTTGATGCATATATGAGAACTTTATGTTTTTACTGCTAAATAATACTCCATTCTAAGGATATACCAAATTTTATTCATCATTCATTAGTTCATGGACACTTGAGTTATTCCTCCTCCTTGGCTACTATGAATAATGAAGTACTTTTGCCTTCAAATGTTGTCAGGAGCTGCCACATAGGAAATGAGTGCACCCTGGTCTTAAGTGATGAGAATGTGGAAATGTGGCAAGCCAGTCATAGGCTGTGTGTGTGAATTATGAGCACTGAGCGCACAAAAGTGAACTGAACCGACATTGCCCCTCTGTTTGGGGGGCCTTGCTCTGGTCTTTTCACTTGCTCTGCCAGGATCCCCACACAGCTCATGAGATGGGCATGGCCTCTCTAGATGTCAGTCAATCAGCTGACAGCAGACATCACCAAGCTAGACTCAACCCCCTGAAACCTGACCTCTTGCCTCATTTGAATGGCTTCTCCCCTATTGGGAGAAGGGTTCAGCTGCGTGCTTTCTTTCTCTTTCCATGGACCCCTAAGGTCAGAGGAGCCGGCACAGGACCCAAAGAAAAAGGTATTTCTCTGTCTCTGTGTGATTATTTTGTGCAGCTCTGTTCACCTGGAGTGACCCTGAATGTTTAGTCTTGGAATGCGACAAAATATTGCAGATGATTAGCAGTGCCAGACTTCTTCATTTTTGCCAATGTACAGCATGTGAAACATTGACTCACTGTGATTTTAATTTGCATTTCCACTTTTTTATATGCTTACTGGCTATTTCTCATTTCCTTAAGCTGCCCATAAATATCTTTTGTGGACTTTTTCTTATAAAATCCTTTCATATTCTGGGTACCAATTTCACTCTTGTCTGTAAGCATCTTAAGCATCTTCATCTAACTCATAGCTGGTCTGTCTTCTTTCTTTCTTTCTTTTTTAGTTGTAAATGGACACAATACTTTTGTTTGATTTATTTTTTTATGTGGTACTAAGGATCAAACACAATGCCCTTATACGTGCTAGGCAAGTGCTCTGCCACTGAGCCATAATCCCAGACTGTCTTCTACTTTATTTATGACATCTTTTGATAAGAGGATAATTTCATGTAAATTTATCAATCATTTAATGATTATTTAAAAGAAGAACAAAACCTTTAGAAATTATTCATTTGGTTCTCTTTCAAATCTTTTTCTTATCTCTTTTTTAATATTTTGTTGTCTTAGTTATACTTGGACATAATACCTTTATATTATTTTTATGTGGTGCTGAGGATCAAACCCAGTGCCTCGCACGTGGTAGGCGAGTGTTCTACTGCTGAGCCACAACCCCAGCCCCCTCCTCTTCCTTATCTCTTATTACTAGTCCTTTTCATGATTTGTTTCCTTAAATATTAAACCAATAGCTTATATCTAATTCCAATATGAAAAGTTTTGCCACTTAATCTGTTGTTTCTTTAGATATCTATCACTCATGTGTGGCCTGTCTTCTTTCCAGTATAATAATATTTGTGAGCTCACCTTTTGTTGGTCTTAATTTGTGAGAATTCTAAAGGCATCTTACTTTTCTCCAGAGAAGATTTGCATTTACTTCGGTCAGGAATCAGAGGGCACCACCTTAGAGAATAAAATTTCAGCTCTTTTTTTAAAAATTGCTTAATTATCTTTACTTAACAATCACGTTTATCTAGAAATGTTTTTCTGTCCCTCCTACAACCAAGTTACTACCCACCTCAAGGTCTTACAGTTGCTACTGTACCTACTTGGGATCCTGTTTATCTAGATACTAGTTTTACTCATGTCCTTATTTAGTTAAGTCTTGTTCAAATATTAACTCTTCAGATAGGCTTTTCCAAAATCTATGTATCTAAATAGGGCCACCACATTCCCCATTATTATTTGCTTACCCTACTTCACTTTATTCACGTGCTTACCACTACCTGCTATTGTTTTATTAAATATGCATGCACATAAACATGTTTTTGTTTCCTTATTTATTTTGTATCTCTCCCACAAGAATGTAGAGTCCAGAAGAGTAGGAACCATGTTTAGGTCATTATTCCCCCAATGCCTGCTATTGTCCTTGGCACCGAATAGGCCTTCAATAAATACTTTGGAATAAACGAACACACATTTGAAATAGTAGAGACAATGATACTAAGTCTAAATTTTTGAAAAAATTCTGTAAAGGAAATCAACTCTCAAGTTTATATAAACGGGTTATCACATGAGGCCCTGTTGATCTCCAGTACCAGAAAAATAGAAAGAATAGAAAAGGGAAAAAAAAAAGGGTTATATCACTGGGGAAGAACTGGAGCCATCCTTTCCTTTGAAATTGGGAAAATTATGATAAGAGAACAACAGGTAAAAGAAGTAGGGAATAGGTGAAATTCCTTAGGGAGAACACACTGAAAAGCCCTGGTTTTTCTTCTCAAATCATAGGTCGTTTTTTCTCATTCAACCTGAGCACTGCCGAGTAGTATAACAATCAATAACTATAAAGCCTTCAGATAAACAAATAATGAAAGGGCAAGAGATAGTTATATTCCAGTGATACAAGGAGTACTATAAATAAAGTGATAATCTAGGTCAGATCACTTATTAAAAGTTCTGATTTAGGGTCTCTTCCTTATCATAATGCTTCAGGAAAAAAAATTCTTAGACAATTATAGATTTGTCCTAAGCTATTTTCCAACAGAAGATGATTCTAGCATATTCATTCAATGTGAAATATAAAATTTTCACAAAAATCAAAATTTTCACAAACATCTCAACTACTAAGCATGTGTAAGAGAATGTGTTTGAGTAATATATTATGTTTACTTGAGTTGTTACTAAAATGCATTGATCCACTCTATCACTACACAAATAATAGAAGCTCTTCTGTTCAGAAAAACTACATATTTCTACATTTATTTTTTGATCTTTGTGACTGAGGCCTGTGAATTTTTCTGAGTTCTTTTGGTGGATCTGAAGCATAAAATGTATAGCCTTTTTTTTTTTCTGACAACATTTGCAAGTACCCCAGAATTCAAATCCAGCCCCTTGATCATCAAGGAAGCCTTAAAGACTTTAAAGCATTAAAGCAGAAGGCAGCATTAAAGACTTTCTGAAGGGTGGAGAAGATAAAGGTAGCTATAAACCTATTCTACTTTCAGCAATTTCAAATCATTCCTTTCTGAATAGTAAAAAATTTAGTTAAGTAAGTCATGGTGGTGCGCACCTATAATTCCAGCAGGTCTCAGCAACTAGGTCCTAAGCAACTTATCAAGACCAAGTCAAAAAATATATATATGAAGGGCTGGGGATATGGCTCAGGGGTTAAGAGCCCCTAGGTTCAATCCTCAGTACAAAAAAAAAAAAAAAAGGTCAATTATTTAAAAGCAGCCTTGAAATAATAGCAGAGAAAGCAGCCATTCAAAATTTAGATCCTGAGATACAAGGGACAGATACCCTTACCTAGTGATACCAAGTTGCTATAGTTCTCCAACATTACATCTCTATACAAATCCCTTTGGGCAGAGTCCAGGCATTCCCACTCTTCCTGAGAGAAGTCAATTGCAACATCCTTGAACATCACTGATCTCTGAAACAACAAACACAGTATTAGTTGTAGAAATAAATAAAATAGTTTATCAGTGAAGGTGGAAATGAAGAGGAGCACTCTACAAAGGAGACAACAGAGAAAACAGAGTAGGAAGCTTCTGACGTGGGGGAAGACAGTAAAGAAATTGGTGATTCTGAAGTGGAAGCATATTCCTTCTTTTTCCTGTTGCTGTATTTTTTCTACATAAAGAACATCTCATTGTACAGATAGGTCTGAGAATTAATAAAGAAAATTCAATGTTCCAATTAAAAGAAGTGGCATATACAAGTACCCTGCAAAAATGTAAGCTGTCTATCATGCACTCTATCATAAATGCAAGTTTCTCTTTCTGTATTTAAGGAATAAGAAAAATAATTGGGAAAATGTCCTGTAAAATCTTTTTTAAAAAATATTTATTTTTTAAGTGTAGATGGACACAACACAATGCCTTTATTTTTATGTGGTGCTGAGGATTGAACCCGGGTCCCCGCCCGTGATAGGCAAGCGCTCTACGCTGAGCCACAATCCCAGCCCCATGTCCTGTAAAATCTTATGAAACAGGATTCTTACAGTATTAAAGAATTTACTGAGGGCTGGGGCTGTAGATCAGCAGCAGAGTGCTTGCCTAGCATGTGTGAGGCACTGGGTTTGATCCTCGGCACCACATAAAAATAAACAAATAGGGGCTGGGGATGTGGCTCAAGCGGTAGCGCGCTCGCCTGGCATGCGTGTGGCCCGGGTTCGATCCTCAGCACCACATACAAATAAAGATGTTGTGTCTGCCGAGAACTAAAAAAATAAATACTAAAAAAATTCTCTCTAAAAAAAAATAACAAATAAAGGCATTCTGTCCATCTACAACTACAAAAAAAAATTTAAAAAAAAGAATTTATTGAAGTCTCCTGCTCATCATTATATCAGAGTATTACTTCATAAAACATTTCCCATGTCACCAGTAATTTAGTTCATCTTTCTTTTTTTTAATATTTATTTTTTAGGTGTAGATGGATACAACACAATGCCTTTATTTTTATGTGGTGCTGAGAATCAAACCCGGGTCCTGCCCATGCTAGGCGAACGCTCTATCACTGAGCCACAATCCCAGCCCCTAGTTCATCTTTCTTAAAGGCTAAAGAATAGCTCCATGTAATGAATATATCCAACTTATTTAGTAGGTGCTCACATTCAAAAATTTTATGTTATATAAACTCACAAGTATTTCTTAGTTGCCAGTATTTCTCAGTTGTGTTTATAATTCTCAATAAGTTATGCAAGCGGATGGTGGTCTTTCTTGTTTACTATTCATCACTCCTAAATGTATATTTTTCTCATTTTCTTCCCCTGCCCCACCCCAGGTACTGGGGATTGAACTATGGACACTCCACCACTTAGCCATATCCTCAGTCCTTTTAATTTTTTTATTTTGAAGATGGTCTCATTAACTTGCCAATGCTGGCCTTAAACTTATGATCCTCCTTCTTCAGCCTCCCTAGTGGCTGGATTATAGGCATGTGCCACTGTGTGTGGCTACCTTTTCCTCATTATAACCCAGAGAAAGGTGAAAAAGATAATCCAAACATACACATCTGAGATCAGACCATAATGTTGGATTTCAAAATGATCCAATTTTCAGAGCTCATCAATTATGCATTCTTCCCATTCAGTCCCTAATCACATGGCTAATTTAAAAAGCTTATAAAGCATGAGCTCTTGTCACATTCAGAGATAGTCAAGACCAACTCCTATCTTGTCTAACTGGGAGACTTAGGTCTAAAGAGAAATTCAAGGATTTATCATGGGTGGTATCATTTAACATATTTTTCTATCTTATAAAATTAGAGAAATCAGCTTCTGTTACATCGGTTTTCCTAGTGGTTCCTAGTCAAAGGATTGTTGAATAGGTATATAAATATAGGTTAGATTATAGCTTCAGGAATAAGGAATGCTGAAACACATATGCCCTATAAAAAAGTAACTAAAGTTACAAAAAAGTTACTAAAGGTACAAATAAGTGCCAAGTCACCTGAGACATGATTTTTAGAGCTGCAAGAAATGACCATTCTTCTTCTGGGTTCCTATCTTAGAGCAGCACAGAATGTGGAAAAGGCAGAGCTGAGGAGGAGAAAACAGAACCATGAGACTAGGTTTTCTGCAAGGCTCCAAATGATTAAATCAGAATTATTTGTGTTGCTCTTTTCTTCCTGTCTCTTACTCCCACTCCCAAAATATAATATTACCGGGGGTAGACATAGGTGCTGTGCTGGTTCTTACCCCAATCAAACTGAATGCTTTCTATATTCAAAGGGAAACATAACTTATCTAGGATTTTTGAAATGATCATATATCTGCAGACATTATATAATATAAAAATAGAGATAATGACCAACTGTTATATTTTAATATATTAATGATCATATATAATTTCATTAGAAGGTACAAATAATTAAACAACTATGTTTACAACTACTTATATTGAATAAACTTCTAGTTTAAGATGACAATATTCAACTAAATATTTTTGACCCCTTTTACTTATTTTTGGCATTTTGAAATGAAAGCTAAAAATGTGTATGTATGTTTGGGTGTGTGGAATACATAAAAATGCATTATCTACAAACACAGCCTTCTACAAATATTTGTTACTGGCAAGTTACATGTTTCAAGCAGTGTTGTCACCAGTGCTGTGACTTTTTGAAATGGTTAAAAATATCTCAGTAAACTTCTGAACAAAATGGAATACAATTTTTTCTTAAGCCATAGATGCATTCATGGAAAATTCACCTAATAATAAAATCATCCAACAACAGACAATATATCAATTTAGCATTTACAAAAATAAACTCACAAAAATGCTTTAGGTGAGAGCTTTCAGACCCAGATAATTATAATGGTCCTCATTCTATGTTACAGACAATTCTTTATTGTGCACTGGAGGACATCTAGAGCAGAAGTTGGCAAATGATTGCCCACCAACTAGTCTTGTAAATAAATTTTTAATGAAATACATGTATACTCATTTTTAAATGTATTA